TGTAGTAGTAGTAGTAGTAGTAGCGGCAGTAGCAGTAGCAGTAGTAGCAATCTGTTTGCCCGTCGGTTGCCCGTCGGTGTGGCGGTAAGAGCATGGTTGTTCAAGACATGGTTGCATGCGAAATGCCGTAAACATGCCAGCTTGTTTGCGTCCAAACGTCATGAAACTGTCAGAACGGCAACGGCGGAGGGTAAACGGCATTTTGCTTTGTGGTGTTGAACTGTTGCGTGTTGTTCGACAGCCGAAAAAGATGCGGTATTTACACCGCTCGCGCAGTAAAGTTTTTAGCTCGTTTAGCGAATATTGCACCTTGCCAAAGAATACGAAAGACGTAGCCCAAAATCAGGCACGTTTTATTGTTTTCCCAGCGTCCCTGTACTCATTGTGAGCGGAAAAGAAAGCGGAGGACCTGAGGAGCTTCTTGCACGTTGGCAGCCCCACTAGCTTGCACGCCAGTTCGGCGCATTGCTCAACCCCGTGGAGTCTTCTACGGCCCGGCTGAATGGTGTGCAGTATCAACTGTCCCCTCGCGGCGGTGCCTGTGTAAATGGCCGTGTCATCTGCGTACACCAAATCGTAGAAAGGCTGTTTCTGGCTGATGGGTCACGGCAAAGATTGGCAATGCTTCTGGAGGGCATCGGGACGTCGGCCATGCATGATCATGCTGTGCACCACCAGGAACAAGTAGCGGGAAGGCGTTCAGCCCTGCCGATTCCCCGTACTGGCCTGGGAAGGTGGCTGGCTGGTTAGTCCGACGGCCCGGACTGTGCCGGTCAATGGCTTCCACCAGTGTGATGAGCTCTGGCGACACTCCGTGTCGGGCCAGCGCCTGTGAGGCAGCTTGTCACGTGAATGGCATGTGAGGTCGACCTCGCAGCTCTGAAGCCGAACCCCGTGCTGCGCAACTTGCTGTCAACGGCCAGCTCCAGTCTTATGTTTTGTGCCCCGCTTGTGCACTCCGGTCACCACTGCAGTGGACCACTCCTGCGGGATCACTTCTGTGAGGAGGGCAGTGTTGAATGAATGGATTCAGCAACGGGGTTCGGTTGTCCGCCGAGAGCCACTTGAGAGCCTCCAATGGGATGGGTGGCACCGTGGTGGACTCATCTTCGTCTGGGGAAGCGGAGTGGGAGGGGACTGAGAGTGTGGGGGCTCCGGTGTTTGAAGCCGCAGGTGGTTGGTGGTAGACGGTTTTGTGGAGGGTGCCGCTTAATGCCAAGTGCTTTAGCCAACAAAGCGTGACAGCGACGGCAAGATCTGGACTGCTTCGTCCGTCCCTTAGGGAGGGGCTGTGAGGTATGGAAGTCAGGCAGTACACCGCCAATGTCGGGCAAGTCGGGGTGGCAAAAAGGCTTTGAACGGTGGGGCCCAGACAAGGAGCCCGTACCTTGACCAGGGGTTGGGGTCAGTGCATGCCGCCATGCCCTGTAATCCCGCCGGCCCGGACTGTGATGCGACGGCGGGCTCTTCTGTGGTATTGCGCATGTGTCTGTGAGGGGAGTGGCTGTGCGGGTGGAGGTGTGGGGTTGAAGAGGGGCACTTCGTCGCCGAAAGGCACACTAAAGCAACTCTCAGGGCAACCTGGAAAAATAGATCTGTGAGTTAAAGCTGTCCTAAAGTCCTACGTATAAAGTTATGGTAGTGGCTCAGCACGACCAGCTCGCCTTCGGTTCAAAGCTTTTCCTCTGTGCTGCGCGAGCAAGTCGGAACTGTCTATGTTGCAAGCGGCAGCCTGTGAAAAACCCTGTGAAGAGACAGGGCGCACAGTTGCTGCGGAAGAAGCTCCAAAAGAGCTGGAAGAGGGGGCGCGCTTGCCAAGATGTCACACAGACCCGGCCATCCTTTTCTTGAAGCACCAGGTCTCCCACAGCTCCTGTGCGTAGTCGTCCGGGGATGCCACCTTGGATGATGTGGTTGATCTTGGCCGCCTCTGTGGCCCCGTCCAGCTCCGCCTCTGTGGCGAACGGGTAAACATTTGTCATATTTGTCCATCCTCTTGGCCCGGGGTGACCAATCGGTTCATCGGCACCTCGATCAAACCCAACAGGCCCGCCCCGGCGTCGACTGTGAAGGTTGCCTCCTGCTCGGCTCCATCAGCTCCTCTGTCGACCGGAAGCCTGTGAAGCATCCTCCGGCTGGACATAAACGAACCGAGCCTGCCAAGGAAACTCTTAGCGGAACCGGGCCAGCCAGTTGTCCAGTCCCTTTTCCTCTCCCTCCTTGTACTCCGGGATGGCCTTGGTCAGGAACCTCTTGGCCTTGGCATAGTTGTGGGCTGTGAGCTCGGCCGCCTTGGAACCCACCGTGGTCTGGTTGACCTGCTGCCTCAGCTGGTCATACCAAATCTTGCGACAGGGTTCCAACAGCTTCGGGGCATTGCTCGGAGGGGATGTGAATTTCACAAACCCAGTCTGTGAGGGTCCCGGCCGTGCTGGTCTGTGAGAATGCGGTTCGCTTGCACACCATCCTGCCGAGCCAGGCATCTTTGCAGTCAAGGAGGGCCAGTGTTTTCCAGGGAGGGATCAAGGCCTCCTTGTTGTACTTCGGGAAGGCGCCCCGATAGGCATTCATAAGGCTCTGAAGCGGCGAGGCGAGCCTTCTTTCCAATTCACCCCCGTCGAAAGTTTGAGTGGGCCGGAGCTTTTCCACTCCCTCCTGTGGGTCTTGGCTTCGTCTCGCTTCTCCTTGGTGCCGATTGCATGGTTGTACCAAGGGAAGACACGATCGGCGACATCCAGAATCCGCTTCGTCACTGTGAAGGGGGGGACTGTGAGGATGGCGGTGGCCAAGAGTTCGGTTTTGCCACCGGGCTTTCCCACGTCCAAGCGTGACGTGGCCAAATCCCACATACCCTCGATGTTCCAAAGGCCAGGCCTTCTCCACTGTGAGAGCCAAGATGGCCACCTCCTGCAAACAATTTATCCGCGTGGCTTGCTCAATCTGGGCAAACAGCAGGTCCATTTCCGCAGTTCGAATGCGCAGGGCCCGGACTTCCTGCTCGAGGGTCGCCATCCTATCCTTCGTGGCAACCTGCGAGGTGGCCGGTGACGAATGCCCAAAGCTGGTGCAACTTTTGGCTGCATGGCCATCTGGATCATCTCCATACATTGACACCGAAGAAGAGGACGAGGTGTACGGAGAGTTTAGCTTCTCCTCCATCAGACCGACTTTCGTTGTGAGGTTTTTGTGCTGCTCTTGCCGCAAGTCACCTTGCAGCCACCTCTGACGAGATTTCAGACATCTTATCGAGCTGCTCGTTGTGTGACGACATGGCCTCAACTGCTTGCTAGGTAACTGTGTGGTCGACCTGTGCGGACACAGTAAATCAAGGCTCGAACCGCTCGTGAGTTTTATTATTATTATTATTATTAGTAGTAGTAGTAGTAGCAGCCCCAGCAGTAGTAGTAGCAGCAGTAGT